AAGATATGAAAGTCCAGAAAGGTCTATCATATTGAAGAGAATATATGTACAAATAAAATGATGAAGCTTTTTTCAATGTCTAAGTTCGATAAAAATGTTCAAATATTAGAGGATGAATACGATTTGGCCGCAGGCTAATGTATTTAAAAGCCTTAACAATGTCCACCAAAAAAAAAGATTTACTAAAACAAAGCCTCATATTTCATTAAAAAGGAAATATGCTTGAGAAATACTTATTTGTAGAAAATTGAATATGAGTGAGTATTTTTTTAAATTGAAAATGTTTTTTTTAGGATTGTAATTCTCTTTTTTGAAATTTCAAACCGCTAGCAGTATATCTTTTGTGGGAATTAAAAATGATGGTAAGTTCATTTCTCATCCTAAGCTCATCCTAAATTTTAATTAAAAAGGTTTGAGATTTGAGATAGTGATAAGAGGAAAATATTTAAGAAATAACAAGTAACCTTAATGAACCTCTTAAAAGTTACAAGACATGATAGTTGAATAACTCTCTTCATGTTAATCGGTAAAAGTAGTGCAATGCTGTATGATAACAATCCTTCCCCGTGGAAGAATGCTCTATGGATGAAGCCATCTTTTATGAATAATGAAGTTGTTAGGAAATAGAAACTGCCGTAATGCATTTCAGTTTAATTAGAAAAGATTTCGCTTTATGATGAAGTTAAATCTCTTTCTACAATCCTCGAATACATATGCTAGTATCATGGCTTATTCCAATCTTCAAGCTCCATTTTATTCCTTGGCCTTCTCAAAATCTGCTACAACAATTAAATAGGAAAAGTACATGCAATCAGTGAGTGCTTTTGCAATAATTAGTAGCGCACGAAGTTTATGCAAAATTCTAAATTAAAAATTTAATCTTCAAAATGAGTGATATGAAAATTAAAAAAGAAATAAAGAAATTCAGCAAATTAACTTTATCAGGTGTAGCTAACGTATGATAGCATGTGTAGATTCATTTAATTAGATAATTTTTGCTAAATCATTACTATGACTTCTTTTTCTACTAATTAAATTTCTTTAGCCATGACTGCTAGATATAAGGAAAAGAATATGCAAAAAAGAAAAATCGAGTGACTGCGACATTAGCGCTCTCATAAGATTGCTACATAAAATATTTACGAGAAATTAGTACTAAATTAATTTAAATAATAGTATAAAAATTAACTTCTATATTTGAATTCTATCATAGCATGACCTTTGGTTTTCGTAATTGCTTTACAAACGATATTAATGCTTTAAGAGCTATAATTTGGCATAGAATGCAATAATGAAGATAGTAAATCACAAAGATTGAAAATTCTCCAACTATTTATCACATTTATGAAAAAATTGACTTAATGATACGTTATGAAACTTTAACATTCTTAATCAGTAAAATATAGGTGTAAACATCGTATTCAGGTAAAAGTAGTATAAATCAACATCTTCTCTTATTGAGAGTAAAATATATCAAAAAATATTAAAAGGTAAGGTTTTATTCGATTATCATCTGTACAGCGACTCAGTCGTAATTGCGTCAAGCGATTATGACAGAAAAAGAAAACGATGCATTAAGGGTTGATTACATTTTGTTCTAAAATATAATCTTTCATTCATGCATATTAAAATTTGTAATATTGAAGAGTTCTTGAAATTACGAATAAATAGGCCTTTTAGGATATTAAAAATTATTGATATCTTTTTTGAATTCTTCATAGAGAGAACGAGAAGATATTTATGGAATCAACAATATCACATTATAGTACCTATTTTTGCTTTATATCATTATTTAAATTAAAATTAAAAAATTAGAAGTTTTTATTTTCAATGAAACAACAATTAATTAAATGATTAAATTCAACAGTTCATAGATGAAATGGATTATTTCTTTATAAAAAAAAGTGTGAAAAGTAGATTTACAACATTTGTCGATGGATGATGAATTAATCCATTTACTAAAATTTTTTTCAAGGAAAGATTAATTGTAAATGTAGTACATCTGAAAGTGAGTTTTAATCAATGATAAAACGTTATATTGATAATGGTTGTTATCGTTGTTAACGGTAAAAGTGCAATGATGTTACTTAAGAAAATAGAAGAAAGTGCGATTGGCGCATGTCACCATAATTTAAATCAACAACAACAGCAATAATGCCGCATAAGTAGTTTCATATGTTTTATAGGAAATGGCAAAAGCAAGCCGCGTCGTAATTTTTTCTTTGAAATGAAATCAATCTCATCAAAATTAGTTTCCGTCATCAAGATTCCAATTTATAATTTCATCCGGATTTTAATTTCATTTTTTTTAATATGCATGCTTTGCATTCAGCATATATATAAGATATATTAATGAGAATCGATATTATACGAATAAATGATTCGTTGCTGTTGGATAATCCGGATATTAACCGTGATATAATGGAGCAACGTGTAGCGTGACTAGACGATAATCATAAATCAAGCACAAATCTACGCATTATTGATCAGTTTATCTTATTTCATTTAAAACATATGCTATCTTTCTAAAGATTAATAGAATTCTTTCTCGTATATTCTACACGGAAATATGAATTGAACAGATAGATATTAATTTGAAGTTTTTTAAAATCAATTCAAAATTTTATTAAACTGCCTCGAATATTTTGCACTCAACAATATCAAATGAACATTTTTAACGAACAATGAATGAGTGTTATTAAAAAAAATTGAAAGAAGAGAAATCTCGTTTTGCAATTTTGTACGCTTTAGTATATATTACATGGAATTATAAATTTTGCATTAATGACAGCTGGAAAAATGATGCTCAAATTGAAATCAATAAGTGAAGTATGATACAAAATAATATAACGAGATTTCGATGTTCCAAAAATACAGTATGAAACTTAACAAACAATATCATACAGAGAACAGAAAACTAATGTAACTTGTGCAAAAATAAAGGATAGCGATCGATTTAACAAATTAAAAACCGGAAAATTAAAGCGTTCACTTTTACATTTCAGCGAAAGCAAATGACGCAATGCGTTGCAATGTTGATGAAATATTATTGAAAAAGATAAAACTCTCATCGTTTCAGCCTCACTTCGTATTTTGTTGCAATAGTAAAATTTCGACTTCCGTTGAAAGATGTGTAAATTTTAAATTTTCGTAGATCTCAAACTTGGAAATAATAATTTTGAAAAAAATGATCAAAATCTTTGTTGCCAAAAATATTCCGTGGAATATCCGAAAATCTGAAACTTCAAAGTAAATTGGTAAGTATGTGAAATAAACGGAATAGTTACAGCGAAACTTCAAAGTAAAATTCATAGATTGCCATATGATAAGTCACGATCACAAAAGATAATCTATTAAACATCACCGATTACAATCTATGCTTTTTCCACTAGTGGTTATAAGAAAACTAAAATAAAAGAGAAATGGTTGTATCTAAAGAAACAAAGAGAATAGATTTAATCCTCTATGATCATTATTGCAAAACATTTGTCGCTTCTGATAATTTATCTGATTAAAAAAAACTTCGCATTGCTTTGAAATTTAAAATTATTTAATCTCAAAAAAAATTCATTTTCAAAAAAAGTTGTCGATCCGGTTGATGTGTTTACGACTTTTATGTTAAGTCATAAACATGAAAGCAATACAGATGTGCAAAAAATGGAATAAATTGATGAAATTAAATTAAAATTAATGCATCTGCGACAACATAAAGTAAATAGAAAAACGCAATAACTAGAAATAGAAATAATTAAAAATTGATGAAATCGTAATATATCTTTTATTTTGTTGCAAACGAACAATTTATCACTTTCATTATTGTCTGATAAAGCTTCTTTAAAATTAATTTATGAATAAATATAAAAAAAAAACCCTGCAGTAGTTACTTAATGTTTTAAATGATTTCAACAAGCAATCCCATGTTATGATCTTCGAATCTTTTCAACAATTCATCAAATTCATTCATTTTTGTCTCGCAGTTTTTTCAATACAAATTATTGCAAACATTTCGATCGAATTTTGAAACACTAATTCATGGTTGAAAAGAAAGAGATTTTTAAATGTGATAAAAAGTGTGAACTCATAATAGTAAAAAAGGCCATTAATCTTTTTCTGAATAAATTAAAAGTAAACAGTACCAATAATATGAAATTAAAGCGAATCTTTGAATGTATCATTAACATAGAATGTATTATGACTGGAACGTAGCACTATACAATCTTCGATCATTTATTTCCTTCCATTGATTTCTTCTAAAAAAATGCACATATTTCTTTTTAATCCATAACTGAAAATAAAATTTCAACATTTTGAATAAAAACCACGATTGAAAATTAGCTGTCCTTTTTTGCTTGTAAAAGAAAATGAAATAAGAAATGAAAGAGTAACTTCCTGTTTGTATCACTTCATTTCTGCTTTTCACAAATAATTAGTGATGCTATCAAATGCTAAAAAATGAATAAAGCTGAAGAAAGATATTAAAAAATATTTCACCAGCCTCATCCTTATTGGACTAATTAGTTGTCAAAATTAGTTGTTGCCAGATATATTTTTTAATGTTTCGTCATCATTTCACTACTTTCGTTAATTTTTCCATTTTTTGTGATTTTCTAAACAGGCTAGAAATGATCACGTATGATCCTACTATGCTCACAATCACAAATATTAATTTCATCCTTCCTTCTGCATTTTACTACATTGCAGCACATGTTTCAGGAAAATTCTTCATTCACATCGAATAATCTATGATCAAACAAAAGACGATGATAATCCAATGAACAAATCTTATTCCTTCATAAATTTTAAAATGTAAATTTTGATATGCATTCAAAGAAAGTTACATTTCATAAGCGTTTGTTACCTATTCACTCCGATAGGGGATGTTCTATTTAATTTGCCAAAATTATCAGTTTGTATGAGACTTTTAAACAAGCAGGAACAAAGACATACTGTTATTAAAACAAAACAAAAAAAACATACTCCCTCTTTACTAATTTTGCTTGCTATTTCTCCAAAACAGCCACCTTTTTCTTCAGATTTCTTAATTTTTGCCTACTCTTTACACTTTGTTCTTCATAGGATGGTAACCGACATTCTGATTGAGTACCACAGAAATCCTGAAAAATTTTGTTCACAATAATTTGAAAAAGAACGGTTTCATTAGTGTAATACAATGGTGTAAGTAAAAAAACTGATTAACCACAACTTAACGCAACGGTGTAGTTTTATTTTCCGCGGTCCATTTTTTCTGCTCGGATTGATCACTCATTGCATTATTTTTCCATCTTTTTATAAATTTTAAATGTAAGCTTTTAATAAGGATTTAATAAAGTTTTATACATTTTTTTTTGTGGTTTATAAAAGACTAGTACTTAGTCAAGTTTTCCTTTCGTAAACCATGGAAATGCTTTAAAACCAATATTATAAAAAATCTGGAAATTCTTAATTCCAATCACTTTTCGAATTACCTTTTCACGAATGTCTTTTTCCTGATGCTTAATTTGATCCAATGATTTTATTTGCCGCTTGGCTACGTTCTTGATCATTTTTTCATGTTCCTCTGAGTTGTGCTGGATTTTTTCAAGATACACAGATGGCCTACGAGATTCTCCACAATGGTAATCACGATAGCCATAACTAGACAGACGATATTCGCGAACACCATCAAATCTAAAAGTTAAATTTAACCTAATTAGATGGCTGCTACATGTATATGTAATCACAAACAAAATATTTGAAGTATGCTTAAGTATAAAATGTATTTTAAAAAGTCAACGAAAAATTTAAGGAAAGCTAATATCTTACTGAAAATCTTATAAAACTAGAAGGTCTGTTTTATTTTACAGTTTATACAAAAGATATCGAGCAAAAAAAGGTATGGTAAAAGGTTAAAGCTAATTATAAAATCTCATGGAAAAGTCTTGTTTGACAAAAAAATTTTCAAATAGCCATTATCATTGCCGCAATTTGAGGAAGAGAGAACGGAAGAGCTTAAGCAAACGATTCAAATTATGGAACAAATTAAGAAACGCAGCAAAATCACTCTGTAGCAGCTAATTCTGGTTCGCTTTTCGAACACATAATCTCGTTAAAAGAAGACATTGAGGCACAAGCTGTAAAGAAGATCGAAGATGATGAATCTATTTGGTCCCAAAATTCATCGAGACGGCTGCCTCGAAGCAATCTCTATAATTCTAATAGTTAGAATTATTTAATATAAAATTTCCTTTAATTTTGACTAACCTTAACAATTTGATTTTTTCCATTGAGAAAAGAAAAATACTTTAAATATTGTTCAGTGCTCAAGAATTCAATACTACACTAGCGAATAAAAGTTAGTTTGCTTATAATAATGTTTACTAATAAATGTTGCAATGGATCACTAATTTTATCAATATTTATTATCTCTTTAATTAGAATACTCTTTTTTATATCAAACTAATAAAAATTACTTATATCTGTAGAGACCTTAGTTTCTTTCATAAGATATCAGCAATTACCATGAAAGCCTAGTGATAGCAGTATTTTTTTGCTTATTCTTAGCTCCTATTATAAGTATTACTAATTTTTGCAATTTTTGTTTAATATATCTTTTCTTACATATAACACTATGATTTCAAACGTTGAAGCATCTTAAAAGTCATACATAATTATGAGATCGGAAAGGTATAGCAAGAAAAATGACTTACAGACTTATTTTTTTTCCTTTTATTTAGCATGGATGACGAGGATGTACCGTTTTCGCTGATAACCGAAACATTCGATATCGATTTGCGTTGTTCCCGCCGTTGATTCGACAACATTTCGGCAAGTTGACACTGAGCTAAACCAAGTTCACCTCGTAACATTACTAATTGCATACGTATCTCACGACGTTCACTATCACATGCACGATATTCTTTACGGATTCGATTCAGTTCACGGAACATTGTACCAGCTTTCTCTTTCCATCTGGAATAAACAGCCACATTTCGGCAATTGTGAATAAAAATCTCAAATATTCAAATTTTCCGTTAAATTAAATTTTAATTTATGATTTTAAGCACAATGAGATTATAATGACGTAAATTCTTTTTCATACTTCATGTGCTCATCTAAATCGATTGTAGCACGTCCAATTTCAGCAAAACTTCTGGTTCTCGGTAAGCGGATATTATGTGAATATTTTAACGCATCCTCACGCAATTCATGTTTATAGAGATTCAATTCACGACATGCATCTTGAAAATCAAGCGTAACTCGATCCAGTTGTTCAGCAAGAACTTTTTGTTCTTCGTGCGAGTTTTTCAAAGCAATTTTCAAATGTTCAAGCTCAGTTATACTTGAAGATGGAATATTTTGTCTTATTATCTGGAAAATTGGAAAATTATGCCCCTTTCGAATATTTACAGATTTTTTTCGTGGTAACACAAAATGAACAATCCCAGAGGATCCTGTCAGAAAATCTTTTCAAGTAAATCCGACATGTAAATTGCTTTATCAACAGATAGTTCTGATGAATATTTAAAAAGAAAAAGTGATGTCCGAACTTTTAATTATATCTGATAGAGACATATTATTGGGAAAACAGCTTTATATTTTTATAAAAACAGTTTATCTATCAAATTCTTCTCTTAAAAATCTTAAATTTGCAACTATGAAAAGATACATACGCTCAGCGAAGGAGATTTTTTCTGATGATTATTTTCGTTTTTATTCGTAATCACGGAATTATCAATTTGTATGATAACATTCTCAAGGTCTTCTTGCACCTAAAAATGACCCAATTTTGAGTGAAAATAGAGTAAGAATGAGAAGATAGAGCATGAAAATTTACTCTTAATTGGATTTCAAAAGTTAGCAGTCTTCCTTTTGAAAAACTTAGAGCAAATAATTTAAAAAAATTAAAGAAAAATTAAAAGAAAATGTTGACGAGTTTGAAATAGCTAATGAGTTTACTTGAATCAGATCAGCAGCTAAATCAAAACCATGGGAATATTTGTTGATAGCTTCTGATGATGATTTATAAGTTGAAATGGTGTCATTATTGCTGAAGACACGTGACGTACTACGTTTTGATGACTCAATAAAACGCCTTAAGCCAATTAATTCCTGTTTAAGATTAGCGTTGTTCCGTGCAAGAATAGAATTTCGTTCACGTAACGTTGTTATTTCGTTAGAGGTGACAGTAGCGATTGAGAATTTTCCTATGGTTGATAGTCTAAATAAATGCGGTACTGATACCCATCTGCAAATTGAACAATATTTTATGCAAATAAGTTAGTTGGAGTTGCAAAAAAAGCCGAAATCAAATTTGAATCAACAAAATATTTAAAGAGTGAATGTAGTTATAATAAAAAATAGAGAAATGAAATTTTTGAATTTCAAAAATAAAAAAGAGAACAAATAATTAGAAATATGAAACTCGAGAATGTCACTCATGATTGTTGACACAGGCTAATTGGTAAGAAATTTAAGCAAAATTTGTGCAAAGAGAATACCTCAAAGTACATCGCAATTCTAATAGCTTTAATCGTATTAAACTAGAGTTTCTAATTCGTCTAATCCAACCTTAATTTCTAGAATTTACACAGTGTAATCAAAGTTTTTACTGAGAAATAACTAGTGATTTAAATTGTGAATTAAAGTAAAAGTTTATTTAAGCTTGTAATATTTTTTTTTGAAAAAAAGAAATCCATCGTCTCAACATAATTTGCTGATAAAGACTATTTCCACTAATTAATATATATGTATATAACAGCGAGCAATTAAATGAGTTCGAAGATCATAATTTTGTAAGAAATTATTTTGATCATGCTCTCTCTTGGTGCTATCCGTTATCTTTCAACTTTTCATCTTATTACTCAGCAAATATAAAGACGAATATTATATGAAACGCAATGTAGAAAATGTCGTATGTTTGTCAATAAAAACTGTGTTTTTTATTGCTGTATCGAAAAAAAACAATGATTTATTTGATATTTATCTTTTTGAAATTGCTATCAAATTATTTCTCAACAGTAAAAATTTAATCGATTATAAAATTTGCAATGCTTGCAATAAGTTCAATTTAAAGACCAACCTTTTCATTCGAATTTTTTGATCAATTGCAGTCTTCTTATGATCATCAGCGAATGCAATCGAATCCTCTTGAGTGTGAATGGATGAGAGGCTAGAAATATTTATGAAAAATAAGCGATATTAAATAGAACATTAATTTCCATTTCAATTTTAATGTCAATGCAAAGTCGAAAAAAACAATGCGTATATTAGTTTTGCTGAAAATTGTTAATAATTGAGAATAACGAGAAACTTTTTTTATTAATGTTTAAATTATCCGAAATTGATCATTTAAAATTACCCCATTTGTAATATGGATTGTGAAGATGAATCATTGCTACATTTTTTTTCTAAAACTGTTTTATTTTTTAAAAGTTCACGCTCTTCTTTCACTTTCTCTAAAACTGCATTACGTGCCTCTGTCAACTTCTGTCGTTCATTTTCATAATGTCCCAATTCCTGCAAAGCATTGCCGTTCTATGAATTTCAAAAACAGTTCTTTGAAAAAAAAAATAATTCTTCACTTAAATATTAAGAGAAGTAACATAACAGTATATTTCAGTAGATAATAAATCACCTGATTTAATTCCTTGCGGAAATTATTAAATTCTGAAATATGATGTAAGATCTGTTGTCGTTGATCGTCCAATATATTTTGGTTTTCTGTTTTAATTTCATGTAATTGCACTGCTAAATCATGATTTTGTTTCTCCAATTCCTCAATTTGTTCCCGTGAATTATCGTTAAGCATCAATTTGCTCTCTTTTTCATCATTTACGATCATTGAAGTGCTCAATTTTTTATCCGCTGGCAAAGCATTGTTTGAACTATAATTGGTATGCAGTGAACGATCTTCCACCTGAATGAAATAGATTTTAACATTTTGTATACTTCTTTTCCAATCAGTCAAATATGACATAACAATACGAAAATACTTTATTATAAGCATCATCATAGCAGAGAGTTCAAGTAAGTTAAGAAGGTAATTGTTCTATTGACAGTTTAACCAACTAATATTATCGTTTTACATTATTCTATCACCGGAAGATAAACTTTGATGGAGAAATTAGCAGTATTGATAGTTACAGCACATAGTTTTTCATTTTAGATATAAAAATTGACAAAATCATTATCTAAATTATACCTTAAAACAAAACGAATTCCAATAAATTTGCTAAACAAATCATAAAAAAGGACGAACCTGAGTTTGCACACTATCGACTAATTTCTGCTGCAATGTTGCAATCTGCAAACCATTGGTAGTCAATTCATCTTGACAAACCTCCAACCTTTCTTCTACTTCATCGGATAGATCACCCTTTTCAATATCAGTCATTTTATGCCGTGCATTTGGTCGACATGCAACGTACTTGCTAACAACACGTGGATGTACGTCTACTTGAACATCACGTGTACTTCGATTCAACTAAAATTTTTGGGATATTTCATTTGCTGGAAATTTCTCAAAACCAAATTACTTCGGAATTGTAATATTATGCAATTGAGGAAAAAATCAAACACTTCCTTATCATTTTTATATTCTTCTTACATGCTATTAATTATTATATTTATTCAATTACGAAATATCCTAAAAACTTTGTGTACTAAAAATTTATACTGTAGTGAGTTTTTCTCACACACACAAAGAATTGAATCTTAATTATATCTGAATAACCGGTTATAAAAAAGTAAAAAAAAAAGAATTTAAGTATTTATTATGTGCATTCTTCTAACTCTTCTTTTAATGAAAGAAATAAATTAAATCTCAATTTTTAGAAAATTAGAATTCTTTAATTATGATTAATTTTGAGAGCTGAAAAAATGAAATTTAAAAATGAATCCTTACCTGCTTTTTGAGTTGACAAATATGGCTGATACTTGATGTAAGCCTTTTTGACATATCAGCCTTCTGTACTTGCGTACGTAATTTCAGGTCATTAATTGAATGCCTTAGAGCGATATTCTCATTCTGAAAATGTAATTTAAATTAGAGAATTCCTTTAGTGATTAAAAAGACAAGGATGAACAATCTGTAGAAAGAAATTTCTCAATAAAGCTGAAAAGAGAAGCATTATTTACAATAAATCGCAGAATGTCAATACTGAAATAATGAGAGGCACAAATCAACTGCAATAAATTGAATAAAATTGATAAATCGATATCAGTAATTTAGTAAATAATTACTTAACTTAATAATTATGAGATTGGGATTGCATTAATAGATTCTTTTTGTGATTTAAAATGAACAAATATGAATATAAGTTAGTAATTTAATAAATTTTAATGAGATATTTAATGAGACTTTAATGATAATATAGTAATGATTTGGTACTTTAATGATGAATGAGTAACCCTATATTTCCCTACCTAACTTGATTTCTTCATAAAAATACCTGACAAACGGGTGCTAAAAAAATAAAATACTATCAGTTCAAATTATACTCGAAGCATTTCATTGCTTGCATTCATAGCTGACACTTTTTCAGCCCAATAATTACTTTGCTCCTGATATTTCTTCAATGATTCTGCTAATACCGCATCCAAATCAGCCTCATATTCCTCTTTCACATTTTTAAGTCGACATTCCAGCAAACTACGCTCCTGTGACAATGATAACATAAATTATCACTGGTAGGTTAATTAGCACCAAATGTAATTTCTTTCAGCATCATACTTCAGTCTTTAAAATTACTGTCTTATTTGGAACTATAAAGGATTGGCAATAATGATACGATTTCCGTAGCCATAGCATTAACTAAATAGCATTAACTGAATTTGCTATTATAATATGCTGTAAATTAATCACACTTAATTGTCATTTAATTAATCATTAAATTCATTTCATACACAAAAAGAGCATTAGCACCTGTTGAAGTTTTTCAATTTCAAACTGCAGAATTGGCACACTTTCAACGAGTTGTCCTAATTCACATAGTTTTTCCTGGAATGCTTCCCGCTCCTTTTGATGTAAATCGGATGTTCGTGTTGCTTCTCGATCCGTTTCCTCTAATTGATTTGCCAACGAACCAACCAGCGAGTTTTTCATCAGCAAATCTTTCTCAATTTCTTGAAAACGCTCCAACATGCTACTTTCTTTCGATGATAACTCTTTCTTTAGTACCTGCATTGGTGTCGATTATATTTAAATTATATTTAAACTCAAATGGAACATGACTACATAAGACGATACTGCGTTTCAAACGAAAAGTAAAATATAATAAAAATTAAGAATATCGTTAATCAGAAATATGTCGGGTGATATTTGAATACAATTGCTTATTAAATTAGCAATAATTTGCTTTGCAGATTTAAAAATATACCTAATTTACGATTAATTTTGTATGTTATTCTCTATCATACGCTATCTATAATATCTATACTTTCAACTACTACTTTACAAAATAGATTTATTAAATAAATTTCAAATACCTCCAATTTATCCGCAAGGTTGACAAACTTAACTTCATTTGTTCGTAATGTTTCTTCAGTGAGGTCAGTTTGTACACGTTTTGAAACGTTAATAACATAACGTGGATCCGAAAAACCACGTTCCCAATCTTTAGTTGACTCATCCTTTACGACCAAGTCATGATCCAAAATTGTATTACGATAAACCTGATGACGTTCCTCTAAATAGCAAATAGCTTTTGTCTTGATTGCCATTTCGCTCTATAATAAAACAAAAAAGAAATGAAGTGTATGTAAAATCGCCATAAAATACTACTAATTTGACTTTATGAACGAATTAAATAAAAATAAAATAAAATTGAATGAAAGATTTGCAAGAAATACCTGAATTTAACTAATTAACTAACCTGTAATCGTACAGCAATGATATTAGCAGCTTCCACTTCAGCAGTTCTTTCCTCAATTTCCTTAAACATTTGCTCCATTGTAAGAGAATTTTTCTTATTTTCTTCCTCCATCGAATGAACAGTTTGACGTAGGAAATTAATATCTTCCTCATATTCATTTAAACATAACTTATCTTCTTTAATCTGAAAAATTCTGCGATGCATCATAAAAATCTTAATAAGAATTGTTATATTTAAATTTATTCATAGAATATCATGAGAAGGGTAGAAAAAAGAGAATAAAAGAGATGGAAACCTTTTCAAGAAGACATTGATTTTCTTCCTCTAATTGTTTTTTGCGCTCTTCACACCGTTGTGAATAGCAATCAATAGTAATTATTGGAGAATTAAGATTTAAATTTTCCTGAATTCCTGAATCAGTCATTGCATGATTTGATTTATTTGCTTCCATTTTCCTGCAAAGATTTCTTCAAAATTCAAAATTCACTGATCGAAGATAAAAAAAGGCTAGATTAGTAATTTAAGATAATATTTTTGAATTTAATCTAGTTCGAATATAAATTTCGATCTATGCTAGCTCACTGATTAATTTAATGAATTATATGTTTATGCATACTTAATATATGTTCGTAAGCATTCATTCTCATTTCGACACCTTTCCAACTCAGGAGTAGCATCTTGTTTTGTTTTGAATATTTGATCCTGAAGTACCATTTCTAGCTGAGCAGCTTTTATTCTCCACGCCATTGCTTCATTTTCATAAGCCTGAACAGAATGATTAATTTTTATTCATTTTTTTAAATTCCATTTTGCGGTATTTTTGATATAATAATAAATGGGAATTTATAAATGCTGACGATATATTAATCAATTGCTGAATTTAGAAAAGATTTCGTATTCATATCAGAAAGCTTATTTAAAAATTTGTAGAAATGAGATGATAAATACGCTTTCCTACTTCAACACAGAAGTAAATTGTAGGAAATTTAGTTAGGAGTCAGAAAAAGGATAGAGGATATCCGCACTACTCTACGAGAACTTAACATCTAACTTGCAATTGAAGAGGTAAATCCTGTGGAATTTGATCAGCTCGAGATTCCATAGCATGTTCAACCTGAAAATTTCTACTTTCTTCCATTTCATTGACAAAATTAAAATTTCCGGTTATGAACTGAATATCTCTTGGATAATCCAATAATTTAAAAGTGCTTCTGATGAACAGAAACCTGAGGTGAGGATGGTATTTGTGGTGACGGTGATGATGGTTGTTGTGGTGGTAGCAGCTTCGGAGAATAAACTATGTCATCAATTGCTTCTGTCATTATTTCGGCATCTTTAACTTCCACTTTAATTCTTGCTTCTTCCAATTCTTTTAATGCAATTTGTAATCTCGTCATTTCCGCTCGTGCATCAACTGCCTCTTGGATCAATTGTCGTGTACGGATCTGAAATTAACTTATTAAAAGAACTTTTTTTTTCAATCTCACCTATTTCAAATCATCTAGGACTGATTTTCTCATTTCAATTTAACTTAAACAATGGCTCACCTCGTGTTTGTCGATAAGTTTTTGTTTCTCACGCTCATAATCTTCATTGATTTCTTTATGTTGAAGCAGTTGACGCTGTTCATTCATGATTTTAATAGAACCTACCATTGATTCCAAATCACGTAATTGATTGCGTAACTCATTTAAGTGCAAATCTTTATCTTCCAATTGGGTCAATGCTAGCCTGAGATTTGTAAATGATATAACTAACAAATTTTGCAGATAATTAAACGATTAATTTAACAGCAAAAAAGGTCACTCTCAAATATTTTCATCATTTTAATCTCATTTAGCGGGAAAAAACACAATAAATTCAATTTCTACGCTGAGCGCGTTACCACTAAGCGTAAAAAGTGAATAGGAAAACTTTGAATAATTTAATCAATTTAATATTTTCCAGAACAAAGAAATGCGAACTTTAGTTGTTTCTTGAGGTGATGAATTTCTTTGAATCGTTGTTGTGTCGGTGTCAAATACTTACCACCATTATCACTTGATTCCTTATCATGATGATTATGTGTACAACCCCATTTAGTACAATGTAGAACGTTCCTAAAAGATGAATAAAATGTGGCAAATTTTTCGCATACATTTCTAAAAGAAACTAACAGAAACAAAAAAGAAATAACCTCAATGGTATTCTTATATTAATTTAAAACTATTTTAGAAAATTATTTTAAATTGAAGAGACTAAAGCTTTTTGTGACAATACTATCACCATAAATAATTCGTACTTATTTAGCATCATATAAACGTATCTTCTGCAATAATATTATAGGTTTGTATAGCTTTACTAAAAAAAAATAAATATTACTTGGTACTTTTCCCAAACCACCATTTACCGGCAATATGAGAATTGCCAATACTTCCATTTGATTTCATTTGAGCATTATCATGCTGTTCATCATCAGTATCAACATCAGTATCAACAGTATCAAATTCATTATCAATATGCGGTGCTTCTTCCTTTTCATTCTTCATCATCTCTTCTTCATCCTCATTTTCATCATCATCGTATAATATTGCTGTTTGTCGTTCAGATTTTGCACCCTCTTCTGTTGTATGCATAATAAAAGGAATCTTCGCTGGAATTTTTGTGAGGTATATACAAAATACAAAAATACAAAAAATACAAAAAGCTTGGAATAATTTACCTTGATATATGTCATATTTCGATGAGAAATAGATATTTAATTATTTCTATAACTGATATATTATAGAAATAATTAAACATTTATTAAATGAGTTAAATGCTTTATGAAATTTGTTTAATGTTAAAATCTTCTACTTGCGTTTTTAATTTAATGATTTTTATTTCAGGTTCAATGATTATTTATTACAAGATGATGAATGTTGAGAGATTGAAGTTGAAGCAATTATTGGTATTTGAAAATCATCCGTTTCAGTGACTGCTTCGTCAGATGTTGTGTCACCAAAAATAGCTACTGTAATAAATATATATGATATAGAACAATAAAAGTACATCATCATAATCATCACCATTTACTACATATGTATTTGGTTTGTATTTGATTATGAAACCCATTAATACTTTATATATTCAGTTTTTTTTCATTTTCAAAATTATGTGATAGTCATGAGAGAGAGAGAAACAAATTTTAATTTAATAATCAAATTCTTTGACATTGAAGTAATAATTGAAATGAACAATTTCCATTCGATACATTTTCAAAAGTAAGACATAGTATCAAATAATAATATTGCTTAGTTTAGATGGCTACTTATTTGATTTCACGACATTCTGAGATTTTCTTGATACCAACCATTTGACTAGGCATTATCAGAATAGCAATAATCTTGCAAAAACATGAGTGAAAATGTTGATTCAAATTATACCTGCATTCTTCTCAGACCAGGTGAGAGTTAATTTTGGGATTTTTGTGGTTGGTCGGTCGGTAAATTGATCGGAAGATTGTTTAAATTCGAGAAATTCTCCAGTTATATTTCTCTCTGTAGCATCGTTACGAGGAAAATTACTGTGTGATGAGGATCGTTTTAAAATGCCCTGAAATGATAACTTCCACACTATTAGTCACTACCCAATTAGTGAATTACTGAATTATGAATACTACCAATTGGAATTATGACTGAATTACCCAATTAGTGCATTTATTTACAATTTAAATTTTAACTTTATTTTCAATTATTTAATTGAGAAATAATATAAGCTGAAATTGGAATCCATTTTTGAAATTGATAGGCAATTAAAAATTCAAATCTTCAAGAATATTATAGAATTTCAAAGATTTGAGTTTAAAAAGAAAGTGATGTTGATAATCTACAATGTTGAGGCCTTTTTTTCTTCCAACATATTCAACAAGAAGAATCAAGAAAAGCAATATTTCTGGTAGAATTTCTTGAAAAAATTAGAACTGTACAATTTGAACTTCATAATATCAAACCTTTTTGGGCATTAATTGTGCAGAGGTAGATGAAACATTATGGTTAACCACGGCGGTTTCCTCGTGTGCTGCAGTTGGTGTCACCTCATTAAGAACCGTTATTGATAAATTCATATGTTGAGCTCGAGCTATAAAGAAATTTTAAATACTTCACAAATTTTGACTACAATCAAATTTAATCACCACGATTATATGTTACTTGCGCTCCAATAACTTTAGAGACAAATGAGCTTATCTAACTCTTTCATTTTGAAAACTTTTATTGCTAAACTTCTTTTTCCAGAAAAGGTCAGAAATAAGCTTCTTTTGAAATAGGCTCAAATTATCATTGAATTTATCACCAAAAAAAACGTTTCTTCGAATGTTAAATCTGCACAATAGCCTATTTGAGTATAAATTATAGTATTAAGTATAAAGTTTGCAAATTACTATAAATTATGATGATTGGAATTGATTTCAGGTAAGAATTTAAGTATATTGTTTTAAAGAAATTGATTTAAAGAACAATTTTGAGAGAGCTAAAATGCATGAAGCAGCTGTAAAGAAAGTTTGTAGCGCATCATCAAAATGTTCAGTTTCCTTCAGGTACGAGCATTAAGGAAGCTAACCAAATGAATTCATACATAAAGTAAGAAATACTACAAGCAATTCGAAACAGCTTATTAAAAAATATATTTTAAGAATAAGAGGTTAGTGTAAGATGTCACATTCAATATATCTATTTCCCACTCTGAAATCTATGAGATTTGATAAGTGAAAATTTCAAGTAAACCAATTTTAAAAGATTTCCTGAACTTGGACAGGGATAGATAATACTGTAAATGATACTATAAAGAACGCCTGATTTTTTTTGCATAATTTTGATTTAAATAAAACATGTATGGATAAATATATATTCATATTGCTAATTAGATGAACAATTAATTCATTGTTCAGTTAGAGAGAAAAAAATGTTCAAAATTTGACAGCGACCAAACGGATATTTCTTATCTTTTCATTGCATTCGCAACTGTCCGAAAAATTATATAAATTAAGTATGACCTTAATTTGATAGTTGGAAATACTTATGAAAGTGAAGACTAAGTGAATACTTATAACAAAATTGATAGCTGCAACCTCTAAAGGTAAGAGTAAGCAAAATATTTTGCCTCCTAGATATTATCTAGTTATCATCACTTATCATCATTCGTCACAAATCATCTCCATCACTGTAACTGTAAGGATTTGAGAATGAAAGTTGAAACAAAAACATTGTGACTAACATCTCCTTGCTTACCCATATCATAACTCTATCATAGCATATAGCATATCATAGCTAATAAAATAACTCGTTTAAAATGTTGTTCATATTATGTTTCTTTCATTTGGTTGTATTAATTAATAATCGCTTACTAATTAATACGATTCTCTATTCTATTCCCAATTCAATAATTCCGAATCCGTCCAGAATGCCGAATTGCAAAAATATTCGTGAAATCTTTTCGTGCGTTTTTTCTTTCAACATTCTGCACAGATCCGGCGTTTTTCCTTTTATTATTTCCATTCTAAAAATTTCAGTAATATCTTAGTGATTACAAAATCGCGGAAGATTTCTGCAATGTATAAACTCTACCAATCAATCTTTAAATAAGATAAGTAATTGCTATCACTAGTGCCTTACATAAGAAGCGATAAAAATATTCTTAAAGAAACCTTGCAGTAATGCTATCAGTGCTCTATCTTCTTAGTTTGAAATTGCTCTTCTGCTTGGTACGAACAAGTTTTTAGGCGCAAAATAAAAACTCGAGACTACAGCAACTGAGAGCTGCTTTCACAAAGAAATACTGCTCATATAGAGGCTCCGATTAAATATACATTAATAGAACTTCATGTATTTCAGATTCGTTTAGGCTTCTATTCTTATTACGCTTAATTTATTGCTTTCACTGATATTTGTTACTCAAAGAGATTAGGACAGTAATTTGAAGAGGCCTAAAATTCTTATGATTGTTAAATATAAAGAAATGATAATTGAAGTACAAGTGAGAGAGGGAAAGAAAAATTATTATTACTTCAGAATTGATTTCTTAGATTTCGACGAAAAAAACGCAGAAACATGGGAAAGCATTCAGGAAATCTTAATGTTTGACAAAAATCACCGAGAAACCTTAAATTTTCAAAAGATCGCGCCTTCGGATTCAGTTCTTAGTGCAGCTTCATAGGATCATGCATAGGGGTTGTAAGGATAAAATCGTGCTGTGGAAGAAATGGAAAGACGGAGTATAGCAACTCGCGGTAATGATTTTACATCATTTAAAATGTTTTTTCAAAGCTGAGTAACCAAGGATTTCCAAAGAATAATCGTCGGCAGATTACACTGTCCACTTCATATAAAACCAAAATGATTTGTTACAAAGTTTGTTTGCTTTAATCACAATGACATTCTGAACGAATAAGAAAGATTTAAGCTCTGAGATAGTAAAGAAATGATGTGGCGATAGAAGAGATGTTTATTACAGCAACGGTTAATATCACAAAACATTGGTTAAAATTTTTGCAAAATTTTAATTCGCGATAAACAAATAAAGTGCACTTCAGTACAAGAAACGCGTGAGAATAAAACAATTTCGAGGGAAAACGGTGTTAAACTCCTCATCCACATTCGAAAAGAACAGCCAGTATTTTGCTTTGAGAGAGGAGTCATATGGCAAACGCATAGAAACCTTTTTTCTCTTCCTTGCATTGTGCTCAGTATATCCGCAAAGATGTTTACTGCTGATAGTGACAGCTTGGCTTATCAACTCAAAAAAACAGTATGTCGTTTCAGACGCATCGTTCATTCACCAAGGACACGCTTGCGTCCTCGAATTAAGAGGCGAGTATCTCTAGACTTAATTTCGCAGAAGTCCAGCTACGTAAAAAAAATCGATTTCCATAATAAGTTTTGCTATAATCTTGATGTATAACTTGTGTCAATATGTTCTATATCTTGATGTCAATATATTCTGATATTCCTATCAACATCCTGCAGTAAAAAAGAATTCTTGTAAAGTCCTCTTCTTGCCAATGAATGGATCAGTGTAGCATTAATAATTTCATAATTTTTATACAAATTGGTAACTATAAAACGTAAATGGATTAGATAGAAAGAGAAATATGTAATGTTAATTTTTTCCCTTCTTCGATTCTATAAAACTTTTGAATTGCTGTAACACGATTTCTTCTTTTTTCTTTCGTTCATCATGAGTAAAACCGCTCAAAAGTCGTTTCTCTTCAGCTGTCATAACCTGGAAAAAAATATTGAAAGCATAGATTAGACTTCTACGTAAAAACATTCTTATATACTCCAGAAAAGCCACAAAAAACAGATCTAATGTGTCTACTAGCCCAAGTTAGGCTGCAGCAATTAATATTGAACTGACTTGGTTTTCTTTTCTCAAACGGGTAGCTTCCATACTCTTATGCCTTGTGCCGCTCATCACATAACCAATTTTTTCATATTCTGAAATTTCCGCCGACGAAAGACCTATTTCACCACGTCGAGGTATTCGCTTTCCTTGTGCAATATATGAAGCCATTGCTGCCGCTTCTCCCCGTAACATGTCCTTTCCGTAACTGAAAAAGATACTTCATGAATCAATTTGCCTTTGACACCTCATGCTTACACCATACTAATAACTTCATTTTGTTAGTAAAACAGACTTATTGTAGATCTCTGCACATGTAAGATTATGAAGAAGGTCGATTTCTTTAATGTACTAAGTAATAAAATTGTAAGGAATTTTAATAAAAGAAAACAAGTCTCACTTTATTCTTTTCATAGTATCAATTAAAGCAGCGTGTTTCTGTTGGAGATGATCAGGTATTGCAGGTCCAATCATTGCAGCTTCTTCTAATTTCTCTCGAGCTGCTTCAGCTTCTCGCATTTCGGCTGTCACTTCAATCCATTCTTCCTCGCTCTCACTCGATAATTTCTTATGCTAGAATATAAAAGCTTCATCAGAACTGCACGTCCATTTCTTTTTATCTGGATTCAGGATATAATAATAACTGTCAAAATATACTGGCAATATCGTATCTGTATAGTTGAAAATAGCTCAACGACGGATAGAGATACCTTCCTTTCAGAACTGGCAAGGAGCTAAATAATTTAAAAGGAATCAGAAAACGTCGAAAAATGCATATCACTATAGCTCTATAAGCTCTTAATAAAGTATATACGATAAAAGTAGCAGCAACAGTGAAATGCATAAGGAGATATGTATACAATAAGAAACCTTCTTCTTGTGTCTCTTTTTTTCTTTCTGTTTCTTTTTACTTCCTTTCTCTTCCTTTTTCGATCTTTTTATCATTTCAGTAACCTTAACACTCAAAGGTTGAGGTAACTGCTCCTCCTCCTCTCGAAGCTCTTTCTCCAATCTTTCATATCTAAAAGAACAATGTGACAATTTTTACAACAACGTTTCGCAATTTTTTTCTTTTTTATTCAGCTAAATAACATAAGAATCATTAGTAGCAGGATCATTGATATAAAAGAGAATACGCTTACTCCTCATACACTTCATGTATTTCACGTATGAGAGGAGAACGTCCCCAGACACTGCGTACGCCCCACTCACCACGCCGTTCGCGTTCCTTGCGACGCCTAAAGATACCAAATAGCTAAAACATTTTCAAAAGATTTGGACAAAATAAATAGTCTTTTAAACTAATAGGGATCGTATATTAAATGTCGAATTGCAGAATACTAAATCTCATTTCATAAAATAAAAAATTTTCGAGTATGAACTTCACTTCCTAGATACTTAAAAGCACTTTTCGTGTTCAAAACAACATTCAGTGGGTGCTACAGGATAAACAGAAGTCGTAAATTTTTTATAGCTCCCTCTTCATCAAACAAGAAACTACTCAAGTTAAGAACAACTAATTGAAAATGTTTCTGTATTAACTTAAACGCAAATCTGGCGAGATTTCACTAGAATCAAACAACAAACAACCCTTTAATTTCAAATTTTGCAAGTAGACCACAATCTACAGATTTGAAAAATATGAAAATGCTAAGCAAGTAAAATTCACTCTGCCCAAATAGCATCTTCCCGAGCATTTTTCTTCAGTGAATCCAGTTCCTGGTGATCACAGCCTTCGTTTCCGTTGAATTCTTTTTTGATATCCGTAGATTCTATGCAAGTTGGCGAGTGTGATCTAAAGGAAGAAAAATGAAAGAGCTTTCAAAGCATTAATGAAAATGTCATTGAAATAATATCCGAGAATTAATAAGGAGAGACAAAATAATACAAAAGAATGATGAAGAAAGTAGAATGAAAAAAAAGTTGAATACCTTATCATTTTCCGAGATTTAGACATATAGCACCGTTCACGAGACCGTGAACGGCTTCTTCTCTTATAATCTTCTCTAGAACGGCTTCGCCTCTTATATCCCTCATTCCGTTTTATAGTTCGTCTCCTATCTCTATCTTGAACTTTCGGCGATCGCGAAAGACGCGATTGATGAATCCGATGTCTATGGTTAGGTGGCGAATTTTGTCTGGAAAAATTGGATATTTTAAGCACAGGAAACTCGTATGTGATGGACGTAATATATCAAAAAAAAACCGCCATCATCGATGCAAAATACAACCAGATAGCGTAAACGAAACGAAAAGTCCATAAGCCACAATTTAGTAGGCATGGATAAATCTCCTATTCCAAGACTTGATTCGATTTTTTCTTCACAACAAATAGCATGATTTTAAAGAGGAATTGCTAACGAAAAAAATGAAGTGTTTAGGAGTTACATGAAAAAGAAACAAAAATAGTTCATAAAAATCATGAAATGAAATGCACCAACCTTTCGGAATACTCGTCATTTTTTCGATGAAATTTCGCAGGTAAACGGTCATCATCAGAACACTCGGATTTCCTTCGTTTCAATTCTTTATATCTCTTCCTACTTTGATTTTCTCCATCCTTTGATTTTGCTTCAACTGATGGTGTTGTTGAATGTCGATCACTATCATCATCACTCTCGCTATATTCTGCTGAACTGCTCGCTGTGATTTCAGAACTTCCTCTCAAACTACTCGTCCGGGATTTCATACCTTGTAATTTGATATAAAACAATAAACAAATACACATAAGTTAAACTTTATTACATACAAATCAAAGTCGAAAACGTTTTTCGTGATTTCTTTTCTTAGCAAATTAAAACTATAAAGTTATAACTATCATTGCATTACGAGGAGTGCAAAGGGAAACAAAATAAAGTATGATGGGTTCAGCTTCTTTTAACACTGAAAAGTGAAGAGAATCTGAAACTCTAAAGTTGGAACCTAAATTTATATACCTATCGTTTCTTAATTCACCCACTCAGTCCCTCTCCAAACTTATGGCAGAAAAACTGTTCTCAATAAACAACAAGGGATATTGTAGTTCCTTGCGCAAATGCTCGTTGCCAGAGGTGAAATTGGCTGGGAAGGACGAAGTGATGTATGAACGAACTTTGCACTCACTATCGGTGAAAAGTCGAATGTCTCAAACTTTTACTTGGAAGAGGTTCGTAAGTAATACTGTATTTCTTGAAATTGTGCGGCATCTTATTTCGTGCGATATATGCATGTTTCATATTTTATCGTACTGCAAGTAACATGCCCTTTAAAATCATTCAATAGTTAAGCTGCCCGGTATGAACTATGAATTTGTCTGAAATCACCACTTCAATGCAGCCTATTTCTGCTGCTATTTTTGAAGAAAAAGAAAATGAAGGTGATTGAGGGAATGGGGTAAGAGTTTGGACGAGGGAATAGGGTAAGAGTTGGCTATTTCTGAAGGATCATCGAAATACGATATTGTTGCGTGTGGCAGCAATACTTTCTCTCTTTTCCTTCTTCCTTCACCTCTTCTTCCTAATCCATCTTGTCAGTGCATCTTTCACTAAAATTGCATTTTTTCTAAATATTTTCTTACAAAAAGTGCGAAAATGATATATGATTTTTTTATAATAAATTTATAACATTTGTGGATTGATGAATGGATGGATGGATAAATAACAGTTTGTTTCAAAAAAGTACCATTAACAGCAATTCTCTGGTGGTTTAACTTGTAAGTTTACATGCTTGATCTGCAATGCTTCTAATGCTATCACGGAATTTAAAAATATTTTGATGGGTTTTATGACCAGCTTTTCTCGATTGAAATCTGAATTGTTTTGTATTGAGAATCATGCTTATTTCTTCTACAAAAACTTCTAAAAGTTCCTGCCTATAATGAACAATTTGAAATGTTCTTTATAGTTACTGAACTGCATCTGTAATCAACTTTTCATTTCAGAATTTTATTAAATCCTTTTGGTATTACATTTTTTTGCAGTTGCTATTGGTCGTAACATGCAATGAGAAAATGTGAAGTTCCGTCAAGCAAAATGATACCAGGGGGAACTTTCACTTCTTCAGTCGTATTAGCTCAAAAAGAAAAATTGAAACGATATATCAGGATGGATATATAATATATCAGAATGGATATATCCATTAACGACTGACAAAAAAATGCATTCGAAAATCATGGGGACACTAAGAAATGTTCTTGCATACAAATGCTTTTTATAGAAGTTAAGTTGAAAATTAAATTGATCGGAGAGAAATGACAGTGAATTATTTGAAAATATTATGCGTTTTTTGCCAGTCGTCAATGGATCCAATCTGTTTCTACAATTAGTAATGTTTATTTAATCTGAAAATCGTGGGCAGATCTCTCCAATGTTTCTTTTTCAGCATTTTAATAATTTTGACCGTAACAGACTGCATATTAGTGAGAATAACAAACGAAATATTCATGGCGTTCCAGAACTAGAAGTAAGTTTGAGACATGAAAGTTTAATGCTTTTTCAAAGATATATTTTAGGCAGGTGAACATAATTCTCTATATGCGCTGCCATACATAAAAAAGCCAGGGAAAAACTTATATATGCTTCAATATTTTATCGAATAGTTTATTTGTTTTTGAAACAATATAAATTGAATTTTTATTAATAGCTGAAAAATTCAAAAATGGAGTTTTGAAATTTAAAAAGAGCTTTTATACATGTTTAATTTAGCGGTAATGAGAATATTACTGCAGTACGTATATGAAACGAAGAATTTATGGGAGATGAAAATGCTGAAGTTGTTTCATATTGAAAACGATAATAAGTAAGTCATTAAAGTTAACATTGCATTCATACAATTTCATAAACACTTGGAATCTGCCATATGATTGCTCTCAGGAGATTTAATATTCGATTAAATACTAATGTGGGAAGGGTAAAAAACAATGTCAAGAATTTCTTATTCATGTATATACACTAATCAATAGTTCACTCATATAATTTTATTATTTTTTATGAGAATATAATGCATCAGTAAAACAGTCAATAACTTCCATTCGATGATGTCAAACTTGATCAAATCGATTGACGGGTTTGTTTGTATATTCGTGGTAATGCTTTTCCAGAAGATGTTTAAATAGGCATGTACAGACAGAGATGCACTATTTGCTTAAAACAAGTAGAATAAACTCAAACATAATCAGAAACACAAATTTCCACAGCACATATTCATTCATTGGTTGCATTGCGTTTTGTTAAATTAATGTTCTTCAGGAAGAAGGTTTGTTAATTCGTATTTGTTCAGAGCTCTCAAATGAAATAGTTCTTTAAGATGGAATCTAATGTCTATATGGTAGAAATTAAGACGTGGTGAAATTTAAGAATAAATGGCATGAAAAATTAAAAAGAAATTCAAAGTAAATCCTATAAAGCAATGATTTATATTTGCCTAGAATTTAATGAAAAATGATTTGTCGGCAATACCGGAATTTTGAAGATATATCATACCTGTCGTATTATTATCAAAGCATATCAGATATTGTTTAATGAGGATAAAGCGCAAATATAACAGCCTGTGCGTATCTTTGATTCATTCCTCTCTTATTATACCGGAAGGATATTTTTTGTGTTCTCACAGATAGCTGGGCACTGTGCAATCAGAATTTCTTCCCCTTACTGTTACATTCCCTTTCTTGCTATGGTTAAACATTACCTTTGATAACAGCTCTATGAGTAGTAGTAATAAGTCAGGAATAATTGATTTCTGGATTGAGAAAAGTAGACCACAACAACAGTCCGGTTTATCATTCTAATTCAACGCATCAAGGAAATAAGAAATATTCAAACCGTCGCCTATTTAATTCTAAAAACATTTTCAAACACAAAAAAAGGTTTTTTTGAAAATGAAATAATAAATAATATAGTGTTTTCAGCCTAAAGTATCAGGAAGGTCAGTAAGTCCAGTGCGACCAATAACATCTCCAGTTTCTTCATCAAAAAACACTTCTTGGCATCCATATGTAAAAGGAGCAAACAATAACTATAACCGATTAAACAAACCGTTAAAAGACGGTTATCGTTCGGCTACACCTATACCATCCTTTGACATCTTACCTGCATCAATTCCACGTATCGAAATTAACAAAGCCTTCAATGACAAGCGAATTCATTGCAATACCACGTCAACTTTTTACGGTTTATTTTGTTTTTATAAATTTCTTCTTTCAACGTCTATCGGACATCTCTCTTTAGTTTGAGCAAAAAATCAAATTTCAATGTTTTTCCTACATAATTTTTTTTTATAAACATAATCTTAGTTTCTTTTGAAAAGTTTGATAAATAATCGACAAAACTTAACAAATTTTTTCTCCCATTATATCTATGGATAGAGATGGATTGAAAATAACGATAACAAAATCCCATCTTATATTGGCATTCGTACAATTCATTCTACAATTTAATACTCCAGTACTGATAGTAGTCTTGATAATAGCCACATGTTTCAGACCACTCACCACGATCTGATGATTCCTGTGGTTTTTTTTCTCATTCAACTCATTCTGATAGCGCGGATACAATACCATCAGGAAATGCTATTTCTATAGTTGATACAATGATCCCACTCAAAAAAATTACGAAAGAAAGCCGCTGGGTATCGGTACACGATGGACGACCAGTTACCCCTTACATTAAAACTGTTGCATATGTTCCCAAATATTCCAATCATGAATATGTTCAGAATACGTACAACGGCAGGAATTATCACTGTAATAATGGCTACAACGTACAATCAAAGTGAGTTCATGAATAGTTTAAGTACGTAACGTAAATAATACAAAGCGTACAGCATTATTTAGTTCGTCATTGTACTTGAATTCTTTTCTATTCAATAAATTTAATCAAACTTTATAAGTTTCATAAAATATTTTTTTTAACAGTACACAGCTAAAAATAATGATAAAAAAGTATAAGTTGGATTATTTCTTGGATTTTCTTATGAGAACTGTAATACTATTTTAAGGCAAGTAAGTTACAAGGACGAAAAGTATGCATCAAAAGCTAATACCACTCTCAAAAGTACCAGTTCCTATGATCCGTGTTCTATTTTTGTTGAGAATCCATCGTACAAAGATTGATTTATTTTTTTATTATTTATTCACATTTAACTTTTAAATTGTGTTACTATAGAATGACTTGGAACTCGAAGTTTTTTCGTTTCCTTTTGATAGCAAATTTAGATTTAATTCCTTTTTTTAATGATTGTTACATTTTCCTCCTGTAATTATATTCCCACAACTATTTACTAATTGTTCGGAAAGAAGTTTTACAGGCATTATCGGGGACTTTTGAGTTAAATTTTCGATAAGTTTCTTATTGATAAATGCGTTACAAAAATATCCTATTGATCCAAAACAAAATTATCAACGTTTAAAATGGAGGATTACCCAATTTTTAATGAATTCGCTTGATAATTTGAATGTCTTATAAAAATTTACATTATATATTTGAAATGTAAAAGAAACTTCAATCCAATCGGAAATTATCGAACGACGTTTTTGTTGTAATTTTCATATAATAACAAGACTATTCGTGGCAGTGGTCAGTAATGGTCAATGGTCAGTATTTATTATGTCTTCGTGGATACAGCAGTCTTAGTCTCCTGCTTATTTATACAAAAGCTTTTGTGCTAATCAGGGATAGAATTGTGAGCTTTTTTTGAATAATTCCCGAAAGAGGACATTGTATTCAGCAGTTGATTTTATCCACTGATCTCCATTTTCACGTATAGAAGTATCTGTTCCTCGTGCCAACATATCGATCAGCTCATCCCAAGTATACAATTCCATATTCAAACACTTATGAAACAAATCAGACCAGAGTTCGTACATAGACCAATTCCTATAAAAGACAGAATTGATGACACAAATCTTATACTTACAAGTGCTACGGATGATTGTGACACATACTACAAGTAGGATGAATTGCTAAAATAGAACTCTCCTGGGGTAGTATGTTTTGGAAATTAGGTTTTCTCTGTTGAACCTGATAGACCAAACAAATTTTTCTAAACTGTTCAAGAATATATAAGTCATTCATAATTATCAAAAGTTAGTAGAGTTTAATTGTAGACATTAAAAATTTTATCCTCATTCTGAATCAATAGTTTCCCTCAAAAAGACAGAATGAATTGATTTTTTAGATAGTAAGAATATAAATATCCATCTATCTTAGATCATTTTGAGTGTTGTAATTTGTAGTATATAATTCAGTAAACAAATTCCAAAAACTTGAATAGTTGTAATTTTGAAAGAATTCAAAATAGAAACCTTTTCAAGTTCAATAAAGGAATATAGTTTCCATTTTCGCATCGTAAATAGCGCAATGTTTGATTACAAATTAGCTCATTTGCAATATTTACAAGGCCCATTCTATCAATTTCATAATTCCAAGGTTCATCACATGTCTGAATTAAGAAAACATGCAATCTTTACTCTCAATATCATATTTTCTACTTAAATCACTTACTGAATCATGATTTCTACAATGCTATAGTTTCGTTGATGATTTTCAGATTCCGCATTTCTTTGCCTTTTATTTCACTTCAATTCCTACTCATAGCTTTAGGCATTGAACTATGATTAAAAGAAGTGCGATCCATTCAAGTCAAGTTTTCAAGAATAAATGGTATTACTGCAGTAACTATTAAATCTTATTGTGGTAGCTAATGGTGGTATTGTGGCAGCTAGTGCTGCAGTAGATAACTATTATTAAGTCTTATTGTAGTAGCTAATAGTAGAGGTATAATTAACTAATTTTTAATAAGGGAGTATTTACTCAAAAATAGCCTTACGATAACACTGCCTGACAGAAAAACAAAAAAACTGTGATAATGTAAAAATTCACAATGTTGAATGGTGGACAAAAGTATGCTTGGAAGAATATATATATAGCATAATGGAGGACATAGCGACAGGTATTGAGGGTAGTAAAAGAGATGAAATAATTGAAAATGAAATTTTAGTTAAATAATTAAGTAAATGAAAATAAGCCTTATTCCATCTCATCGGAAATTATTTGCCACGGCATCTTACATAACAGCCATCGGTGATAACTTTTTCCTCATTAATATATTGTCCACTATACTTCATTCCATCAGTATTTCGAATTGCAAAATCCCAATTTGCTAGCTTTGCCAATAATGTTGCACCATTACTTAATGTGTCAAATTGTGGTTTGCATGCAATCCTATAATTTTTTTTAGAAATAACCGATCAAAGAAAATTTTGATAAATCAAAATTAGCATTGAAATTTGAAAGAAAGAGAATTTCAATTTCTTGCTAAACTTCAAAGGAAAGAATTAAACAGTAATCAAGCAATCAATAATTTAAAGATATCTAAAAATAATTTAATCAAACAAACAGTTTGAAGTTCAAGCTGAACAGATATATTATTTTCAGAACGGTTTATTTATAACTCTTTAAATTAGATTAAATAAAAAGTTTAATAAATATTTTTTTGAAATATTTAATTAAGAAACCTTTTAGCAACGAATATATTATCACTTCTAAAGCATCCATGAATAATATTCATTTGATGCGTGATACGTAAAATTTTCATTAGATCGAGAATTATTATTGCAACTATTAATTCACTTAATTTTATGTCACCAGAATTTTGAATTGTTATTAATTCCTGAAATTAATGTACAACTAAAAGACACAATTCATTCTATAAGTATATATTGCTATACTGTATTATTAATATGAAAGCATAAAGTGGTAGTTAATAATAAATTGTATTAAAAAATTTTAATTCTTATTTCTTAATTATTAAATTTCAATTATCCAAAATGAGAATTGATTTGATGGACACTAAAGGATCATTATTGAAAAAGTTTAAAATGGGTAAGCTAATGAGAGCAATTAATGTAAACAGATTTTGCTCGCAATGAATCATAGTTGTTGTTCTACATCATTCTTTTTAAACTGATTAAAAGTATGGCAATACCGACAGTTAGTTGCTTGCTTGCTTATTTTATACATGAAGTACATCAATAATTCATGATAAACTTTGTAGTTTGAATTTATATGATTTACTCTTAAGCATGATTTAAAGATATAATATGCCTCTTATTCTTGTCTCCAATTCTAATTTGCATATTTCATATCATTAAAGTCTATAGTTTCTTTATTCGCTGTTCAAATAATAAGACCTTTGAACTTTATCAGGAAAAGATTGACAGTGTTAATTTATCTTCATGTCAAACTTTGAACGCTTACTTTCAACGTTCCAGCTGTAAATTCTTGAACAGTTAAAGATTTGTCAGTAAAAGTAAGACAGTGATATATTTGAACAATGCCCGATATTTGACGTAGTTCCTTTTCCACATAATGGTAAATATATGCTTCCCAATTGCTTTGATGTTTTGATCGTACCTAAAATTATGCTATTATTTCAAAGAAATTTAAAGTGTAATATAATATAATATAATAATATAAACATAATATAATATAGAGAATAATATAATATAAAGAAGTATAATATAATCCTTTGATTAAACTTCAAAATAATAAGGAAAAAACTTTTTCATTAAAAAAATACAAACAGAAAAATTAGCAAACAATCGAAATTTAGCTTACTTTTAAAATGAAATAACGATTGGGAATGTTTTTGATAGAACAGAAATAATTTAAAGAGCCATTCAAAGTTTGTTTTGGAAAAGATAACTTATGAAATATGAAATTAAACGGTGGCATCTTTTTCTGAAATTTATTCCAAAACAAATATTAATTAGAAATGATATAATTTGGAGCAAATTTTCACATGTAATTAATTAATTGAAATGTTATTGGCAAAAGCTTTAATAGGACTGGCTAATAGTTGCTATGATGATGATATGTCAATCTCACTAAACACAACTATTTATCCTTTTTAAAGCTATCCATTATTAAACTCTTTTATTTCAAACTGATCATACATTTTATAAATTCCTTTTAACATATTTTCAACGAAAAAATAATGCACCAAAAACTGAACTATTATTTTTTAATAATATGCATTTATACTTTTTCAAAAAAATATTCGAAAATGTAACGTTATAAAATTTTATGAAATTCGGCGTTTTAAAATCATTCATTAGCTCCGTTTGACGATCTGAATCCCACGGATATGCAGATGTTATATGATCTGATTCCCACGGATACGCAAATGTTTGATGATCTGAATCCCACGAATATGCAGATGTCTGATGATTTGAATCACACGGATATGTAATAGTTTTTTCACCAGCTGTGGAAATGGCGTAATTGTCATTGTTGCTTAGAATCAATTCCTCTTCTTTTATAACAAATTGTCTGAAAATTTTTACATGAAAAATTTCTAGGCAAGTTAAGTTTGGAATGAAAGGTAAAAATGAAAATCCAGTGAAATTTTAACAATGTCAAACTGAAATCAGCAAAGATATTCTTCCAACTAATTCTACATCAGATTAACTTTGCATAGTTTCCTAAATCTTCGTCTTCTCATATTTCGTTCTTCGCTTTCCACATGCCTTAATTTCATGCATAAATTGCAGGAAATTAAATAACTTTTTCCTGATTTCAATGGCACATTTCGGTTTGGCGTTCATTTTTTCCGCTTTGATGAGAATAGTTCGAATGAAATTATGATTGCCATCACAGCGTTGCGCCCAACAAATGTAGAAATCCGATAATTGTGTAAACATTTTGCTATCATAAAATGTACCGAACATTTTCATTGCATTTGTGTCACTTAAAAATTTCATCTGAAAACAATTATAATTCATTTTTATATTTTTTTAATCAAAAATTATATCGGAATTTGATTTCTTTTATTTCTTTAAAATATTAATTTATTTGTTTTTGTTTTTGGGAATGAAATATTTTCATTCAATTATTTGCAATTAATTCATTTTGTTTCCTTTAACAAATGCTATATATTTTTAAATCCATTAGTAAAATTTGAAATCTATTTGCATTTTAGTTAAACTTCTTATCAATTACAATTCGAATTTAAATTAATGTAAGCAAAATGAATGGATTAAAATAAATTAATTCTTATCGGTTAATTTTGTATTTAATTAATAAGCGACATTAACTTGATAATAATAAATATTAAATAAGCGAATATATAAATGAATTTACTATATTGCATATCTAAAAAAATTGACGATAAAGAACAAACGGCAAGTAGGAAAACACGAAAACATCGATCTTTGTTACGATATGTATCATCCTTGCAAAGGGTGAGTAGCTTTATCAAACTTGGTTTTACTATTGCAAGCAATTCACATTCTGTTGCAGTATTATGCAATTGTGGGATTTGTCTATAAATGTGATTGAGGAAATCTCTATTTTTTACACTTAATATTAAATGAATCAAACTTAAGAAGGATAGATATTTATTTTGAATTATGAAATTTGAGAGTTAATTCTAAAGATGTATAACTTCGAAGAGAATAAATTCTAAAAACAAACGCTTGAAATAAAGTGAATGGATCGGTTGTTCCATCTATTGGTAACAATGTTTGAGCTAAAGATTTGAGGTTATACCTGAATTATGCAAATCAATTATCACGATTATAAGTGAAGTATTAATCAGCAATATTTATTAAATGCGATATTATCAATCAAGAAGTTGAAAACTATGTCAAAAATTTTGAAAAAAATTTCTTTTTACCTTCCATGGAAAAGCAACCTTCTGGTTTTAGTACCAGCGGACCGTTCAACCATATCATCTGTCTATTATATTACACAATTCTGAAATAACACAACTTTTTCCTAAAATATAAAGTATTTCAGAATATGCAAATTTTCGTACTCTATGGAAAACTCTAGACTTTCTGATTTAGATGATATAATTATATGCAAATAGGATCATTTAATACCCTAAATAACCCTTTCAAATGCAACTTTATAAGCAATACTGGATTTAGCTTATTTTGCATTTCTCATTTTTTACTCTTTCATCTATCAGAGAATAATCAATCTGATAAGATGTTTCTGATAACAAAATGAGCATATAAATAATTTATTTTTGTGAAAATTTCATTTTTCATTTATGTTTCCGCCATTGTTACTCATTGCAAGCTTCTTGCATACATTTCAAGGTTCACTAATATTTCATCTTTCCAGATTCAATTTTTCAACATAATTTTACAGCGGTAAAAAATTGACTTGTATAAATTTTTGAAAAAATTTAAAAAGGTTTAAATAAATGAAATATTCTATTTACCGTACTATGCGGTAAAATAGATGGGAAAAGGGAGATATTCCACTTTAGAATTTACCTTATCACCCAGGTAACTGATTAGATAGTACCGCAAAGTATATGTATGTGTATGTGATCTTCTGCTAAGCATTTTTAAGTAAGTTAAGAAAAATTTTTGGTTTAATTAAAATTTTGAGGTTTGTAGCATGAAAATAAGCTATTAATAGAAAATGTATTATATTCGGTTGATTGTTCCGGAATGAAATTCTTTATTGTTAAAATTTAGCTGGTAAATGCGGAGAATTCAATAAAATCTCAGAGGATGATAATCTGTCAATAATGGAAAAATGCCAATCGTTATATAAAAACAACGATAGAATTTTGAAATTGGAAAAGAATAACACTGAATTCAAATTGTTAGGTGGACAAATTATTACATCTATTAATTACGGTCATATGGTGCAGATAATTCATATCAGAGGTATAATTAATGGCGATCCAGGTGATATCTTTGAATCCTTTTTTTAAAGCATAACAATTTATATTGTCCTTTAATACTATTTACTTTATAACATTTATTTATTTCATCATTGTTTTAAATTTCACTTCTAATTTCTTGTAATGTTGAATTTTGTTGAAAGATCCAATAACTTTTAATCTAAGATCTTAATTTTTTAATTATAAGAAATTATGAGTTATTTAAATTTTAAATGACATGTGAAAATTTCTGCAATAATTTATTAATGAAATAATAAATTTTCACTTAAAAGGATTTTAAAATATATCAGAGTTATTTTTAAGATATAAATGTTTGTTCGGGGGTTATTATTACCTTTCATCATATTATAACAGCTGCCAGTTGTTTGGATTTCAATGAAAAGTATGTTTCTTTTATTTTTCAAAAAATTATAATTTTCTAAAATCAAAAAGATCTCAATGAATAATTGAAAAAACAATCATTTCTTTTTTGTTGTGAAATATTATAATTTGAAATTTATGAAAGAAAATAATTCCTAAAAATTTAAGTTTGTGATTTTCTTTTAAAATTCCAATTTGAAAATTTTCATTTTTAATTATTTCTGTAATTTTCTATTATCATTTATTTTCAATCGAAACTTTAATAAAATTTATTTTTGTACAGAGAAAAATTTTTGTTTGTATTTGTTGATGATAATTTTAAATATGGAATTCTTTATGATAGGATATTCATTTGTTTTATTTTACAGTGGATTAAAAAATACGCCGGTTAGTGAATTTAAAATTTATGGTGGATCATCATGTTTGTATATCGATGAAATGGACGAGGACCTTTATGATAATGTGCCAAGATTTGTGAGTATGCTTTTTCTATTAACATTAGGATATTTCTCAAATCAAAATTTAAGAATTCGTTTGTATTCAAATCTTTTCAAATTTTTCACAGTGATGGAAAGAGATAATGTTTTTGATATGACATATAATTTCAGAGATGTCCAGGTAAGGATGATAATAGAAGGAAAGTGGTATCAATTAAACCGCTTGCATTACTTGTGCCGATGTCATCTGTAATCAGTAATGTCGCATATGTAAACCATTTCTTTCTTTCATTTAATATAAGTAAGAAGTTGAATTAGTTCTTCAACATACTTAACTCGAAAGAACACTATCTGTTGTCATACTTTATAATATTATAAAAGTAATTAAGGAATAATAATAATAATTAATAACACTAATAATAATGATAATAATAGTAATAACAATAATAATAATAATCAATAATTAATAATAATAATAATAAATGATAATGATAATAGCCCAGCAATGAAAAAAGTTGCTTAGGGGCACCAGGCTTGAATAAATATGTTAACATCCCTAAAGCTTGATCATGTTCTAATTTATGCGGCAGTTAAGAAGGAATTTTATTTTATTTTCAGTTAAAATTTAATAGATTAACGCTGAAGCACTGATAGGCTTTTAAGTACCACATTACTCAAACTAAATAATTAGATTTTATATTAAGCAATACACTTTACTCTTTTTAATAATTTAATATGAGAGATTTGAAAAACAAGTAGATAAAAATTCTATGTGGAAGACTTTGAATACATCATAAATAGCATTAGTATTATGAAAAATTAGTACCAAGTATTAATAGTCAATTAATGAGGCTCAATTAAACTTCAATAAACTTAAAAAGCAATTCGTAGAATTTATTTCAGAATCGTGGCGTTCCATTTTATGAAGCATTTTCGGATATAGCAATTTTTGAAGTGGAACCTATCAATAAATTGGCACTAAAATTAAATGAAGGAAATGATGATGAGGATGATGATGTGAATTTTGACGTGGCATGCATGCCGGAACCAATAATTCAAAATGATGGATCTAATCATATCATTATTTCATATGGACGTAGAAGTGAGCTTTATACGGATTAACTTTGACCTCACTACTTTTTTGCACGTGATATTGGTACGCAATGGACAGGTAGTTTTCTGATACAACTGAAGAATATTGATTGTAAAATTCTCTTATATTATGTCAAATTTATCATCAATATAACATTTGAAAAAAAAGTTTAGAAAATTTATTACACCAAAAAGACGACAATCCAGTAAATGTTAAATTAAGTCTTCTCCTGGAAAATAATGTTTATATCGATGAATGCCCGGCAAGTATTCCATTAATAGCTTGCTCACGTGTTATGATAATTGAAGGTGAACAAGGTGCTACTGAGGTAAGTTTGTAATAATTTTTTCTTTTTCTAACATCAAATATATTTTACTATTAATAATAAAAATTAGTAACAGGTGAACTTATACCAAATTGATTGAAATTAAATTAAATAATTTAACATTAATCACTCAAATTTTTATTTCACATAAAAATTCAAAAAGATAAAGTTCATTAGGGTGATAGTGGTGGTGCAATTATAAAAGAATTCGACGGTCTTACGGTATTAATGGGTATTCTCTCATTTCGTCAAAATATTGGAAGAGCTTATGTAAGTTTATAGTGATAATTTCTTGTCCTATACAATTTTACAACGATATTTTTAAATTATCATCAAATTTAAATTATCGTAGAATATTCCTAATAAATTTGGTATGATTTATAAAATTGCTGAAAAGTTTGAAGGATATTTTATGTTATTTTCAAAAAGAGTGATTTTTCAGGTGGTAGTAAAAAGATAGTAAAGTGGGAAGTAGAAGTATTTTATAGATATTATTTTTAAAAAGAATGATTCTTCAAATCTTTATCAGATTTTCAAATTTTTATCAGAATTATCAAATTTTCGAATTTTGTTGTTTTTTTAAATTAATATCTTCTTTCACGATGTGGTATTTAAATTCTAATTAATTAATGATGCAAATTTATTTTTTTATTCGGAAATAATTTGACTATATAATTTGAATTATAATAATTAATAAAAGTTATAATAATTAATAATAACTAAATAATTTGAATTAATGTATTTATCATTAATTATATTTTATCAGTAAATTTTCACACAATAATATGATTCGTATGATTTCTAAATTTAAATGAAATATATTTTTAGACAAAATTTATGTTTGCAACACATATCAGTGAATTTCATGATTTCTTTTGTTATTATATTGGTATTTGCATATATAAAGATTTTATTGAGAAAGATTATTTGGAACATCCCGAGGAAGTAATCATTCTCACTGATAAAGCTGGAAATAATACCCTTGGCAATGGTATATGATTTATTTTACTTATAAATATTAAGCTATTTTAAAATTTTAAGACGAGAATTTTTAGGTAGCAAATGAATAATTAATTAACTTTCATCAATATTCATTTAATTAAATTAATGCGCAACATATTAATCAAATTTTTTGATGTAGTAAAATAATAATTAAGGAATATCAGGAGATGCTGTAGTGATGATACGCTTATAGTTTCGATATACCACACTTCATTTGTTACAACTTCTATGATTACTGATAATATCAGAAAGAAATTAAATGATATAAGCTTCTTTTATATTCTTTTAAAAAAAAGATAATTAGAGTGCTAATTGATTTGATTGAATGGATCAACTCTTATAAAATTATCAATTATTTAATTAATTGGAAATTGAAAAGTGATTTTTGAAAGCAATGAAAAAATTTATTTTCAGTGGATTTTGCCAGTATTGATTTATTCAAGAGAAGATTTGAAACGCAAGTAACAGATAACTTTGCAATTTGCAAATTTCAACGCATTTACTATTTCTTGTTAATTTGTTTAATTGCTCTTGTAAAATTATTAATTATTTAATTGATAAGAAATTTTAAATTTTTCATATGATGTATGTTTAATAAATCGTTCTAAAATAATGAAACATTAAAACAGCAAAGACAAAACATTTAATCTATTTCTTTTGAGCTATAACCATAAGAGTTAAACAAAAAATTAAATTTCGTTTAAAGTAAATTAGGAAATGAAAGTAAGAAATGGATACAATAAAGTATTGTTGCTCCTTTTTTGCGACAAAGATTAATTGCTACACACTTATTTTACAATCAATAAAATAATATTCATGTTTGAGTTTTTCAACTCTTCCTAAAATCTAACAAGAAATCTCAGTCAACTTTTACTTTCCACCCTTTCAAATCTCTTTCTCCTAACAATATCCCCGTCACCGTCGTCATGGCGATTTATACAATTTATGATAAGGCAAAACTTTATCTTAATTGTAAAAAAAGAAATTCTTTTACCTGGAATGTGATTGCTTCATACTTTATCCATTCAGCTATCAAAAATAATTGAATAAAAATTTAAAGTTTTTTTAATGTTTAATTCTAATTTTTGAAAATCTCTTTGATGTTTATTAGCGATAATTTTTAACATCAAACTACCATCACATCAATTTGGCAAAAAACATCAAATGAGTAGAATAATTCATCTTTTAGTTTACTGATAAAAAAAAGAGGCAAAACTTAAGCGGACAAATTATCTTGCACTAACTGTTAGAATTGAATTTAATTATTAATTGAACTTAATGTTAATTATCTAAAATTAACTATCTAACTTATTATCTGTCATTTGTTTAACCATTATTTTACTCTATTGTGTATTTTTTTTCTCTAAAATTCTCTTTTAATCACGTTCCTGACTGATATGATCATTATCATCTTAAAATCCATACACTTTGTTCTATGAAATGATCTCATGATTAATGTTCTCTCAAGTGATCTTATCATTACTGTTCTCTAACATGATCTTATGATTACTGCTCTCTAAAATGATCTTATGATTGATGTTCTCTGAAGTGATCTTATGATCTTATGATTAATGTTTTCTGAAGTGATCTTATGATCTTATAATTATTGTTCTCTAACATGATCTTATGATTACTGCTCTCTGAAATGATCTTATGATTAATGTTCGCTGAAGTGATGATCACTTTGGCAATCTTATGATCACTCTTGTGATAATTTTGTCATGCGATTAGGTATTCATTATTTCCTAAAATGAATGATCTAATTTTCATCTGTAATGATGATTATGTAGTTAGAAAGATTATCGTACAAAGAATTACGACACTTCTGGAGATCTAAATTGTCACTGAACATTTAACTCAAACGAAATAACTATTTATTACATTTTACAATTTTTGTGAAGAGAAAAAACTGTTTTAAGTTGAAGAAAAAAAAATGACAGATCACACTTACTATTCACCAATCATATTACCCATCGTATCATATTCATTTGGATAGGGTGGTTCGTTCTCATCGATAAGCGTATAATCATTTGGTAAGTTCACAACCGTTAAAGTAAGTGGCTTATCAAATTTAATTATAAGCTGAAAGATAATGTGCAAAAAAAAATTTAATTCAACGATAATGAAATTTCAGTCTTTTTTCTTCTTATCCAAGTCAGAAGATAGAAATTAAACAATAGAGGGCAATTACCTGTATTGTTAAAGGTAATTAAACCTCTACTACTAAAATATAGAAACCAAAGCAAAGCAGCACAAATATTATAAACAAGCATAGCGCAATTGTTTCAGCTCATCTCATATTCTTTCAGAGTTTTATGATTAGCTTAAAACTTCCAACGGTTAAACTTTTAAAACTAAGCAGTGAATTTCTTAAACAAACGAATTTACATTTCGATAGTAATTAGCTAAAGCTAATTCGATTGCTTTGATGAAAGTCCAAAACCATGCAACAATTGTGCAAATTTTCCATTCCAATGGAAATGGTGCACCCAAATTTCGTAATATTTCATTCGTACCATTCCAGTTGAAATCAATAATGGTTAATGCTAAGAGTAAAAGTAAAAGATAAAACAAAAAAATTGAAAGGAAAGATTGATAAGCGATAATGTTTATCAATATTTATCAATTCATAGGAAAAACTTGATCATTGAAAAAAATTTGACAGTAATTAACTTCAATTATTCTCTAATAATTTTAATCGGAAATATTTAAGTATTTTATCCAATTGGCAAAAGTGAAAAAAAAAACAAATAGTTTAAATGATTGAATCGATTGTTTTAAAAACTTACGAATAGAAATGATAAGCCAACAAATGAGCCCACAGAAAACCTGAATTCCTACCGATGAATCGTCATTGTTTGTCATAAATTCGATAATATGCCCCAACAGGAAACATACAGTTATTATTACACCAACTAATGGTATTAGCAAATGTGCTATAATTGCAGCATTAATAATATGTATTTGAAATTGAAATAAATTTGCAAACTGTAAACTTATAGAAAGTACAGTATCACAGTATGTCCAAACTATTTGAATTTTATAGAATTAAAATTCGTATTTCTATTAAGTTATCAAATTGCTACGATTATTCGAATAATCAATGATTTTCTTTAATGTTTCAATTAATTATTTAAATTATACCGGATCCAAATTGACCATTTGCAGTACCGAATCGTTCACGAATTCCAAGCATTACACAAATACTATTAATATAAGGCTTCTCATAATAATATTCATTTCTAAAATATTAATTCTATTAATTATTTTTTTAATTAAAAAATTTTAAAACTGAGAAAATCACAAAAAAAGATTTATATTACGTCTGAAAATTTTACAATATTTAAATAGCAAAATAAGATATTTTTAAATTATTTTATTAATTTATTCATTATTCTTCTATTAAAGGTGTGGAAAAAAAGAACTATGATTCAGAAATAACCGAATATTTAGCCAAGTGATATTTTTATCTGTCACATAATCATCAAAATCCTGTAGAATCTGAATGATTGTATCATTTTTCACCAAATTCAAATTATTCTACAAATTATTCATTAATAATTGTTAATCATTGTTTTGCACATAATGATTAATAATGCCTTTGCAGATAAGGAATAATGCCTTTGCACATAAGGATCGCACATTGAGTGCATATTATCTCAAAGTTTCTTTGTTTTGCAATTTCTTCGATTTATTTTTAATATGCAATTCTTTCATTCTTCATTTGCTATTATATAGCAATACACTGAGATAATTGTGAGAAATGATAAACGAATATTATTGATTTGATCGAATCATATCATTTTCTTTTTCTCTTCTTAAAATACCTACAAAAAAATGAATGAATGAAAAAATTATCAAACGTATAAGAAACGTGAAACAAACGTGTAATTCTTGCGCACATTGTTTGTCGCTAATATAAGCCTGGTCAAATTCAGTATCTGTTAGTTCACGGCAAATATATACTGGCCAAAGCAGTAATACGAACATAATAATCGTTGCTGTGCACACTTCAAATATATGTGGTAGAAGTAGAATATGCATTTTGTCGCTATCTATCTGAAATTTAAAAAATTTTTTTTGCATAACTTTTGTTTTGAAAAAATCATTTATTATCTGATTAACTAATTCAGCGTACGTGTCTTTTACGTCATTTACGTCTTTGTGAATACACGGACAATATCATCTTCTAATCAGCTATATGTAAGATTTATATTTGACTGCTTTCACTTATTGTCATTATCATATTTATCAATTAGTAGCTTTTTGAAATATGATAACCGATAAAAAAACTATTTAGTCAAAAATATTGAAGAATTCGATTCAAAACTGATAATCACTTTAAAAAGACATTTATAAAGCTATTATTATCACTGATAAATTAATTTAGCGATATCACTCTAAAATACAAAAGCAATTTATGAGTTCAACGGAATATTTTATGAAATTTAGCGATTGATATTTAATGGGTGAATTTCTTTCGAAATTCTTCATTTGATAATAAAATAAAATAAGGTGAAGCTTTATGAGAAAGAAAAGAATTATCAACGATGATAACAACCACTAACAAACTTATACACAACTGAAATTTCTTCAGCCTTATATTGTTGGAATTATTTTAATTATATTATTTCGCAATTGTAAAAAAAAATTGTAGAAAATTTTGCATATATCTGTACACGATTACATTTGCTAAAAAGATTAGAGCGGAGAAATTCAACATTTCAAATAATTTGCAAAAATTTGTTCAATGAATAATTTGCATAGAAAAAAAATTTTAAAAGAGAAATTTAATGGAATTGAAAAATTTTGGTCATATAGTTACGGTCATTCTACTAAAGATTTCATGCCACCCATTGAATTAATTTTCACCTTGTGAATTTATTTCTATTCAATCTTCGGAATATATTAAATGTCTGTAGATGTGTAACTTGTAAAATGTTAGATTCTTTAATTATGTGGAAATTTGAAATTTTTTTAAAATGACAAATCAAATTTGAACTGATTTGGAAATTTAAACGTGATCTATTTTAGGAACCAAAAGTTCCGTAATATTTGATAATTATATATAATAGTACTAGTTGTGAATTGAATTTAAACATTTAAGTATTTGATAGTTTGCTTTATGAATACAAATAGTGATATCGAATTGTGGAAAAAAAATTGATAATTTGATAAAATATTTTAAAAAGGAATAACTAATCAGATTAAAATATAAAATAGTGAAAATTTGATTATGAAAGATTTCATTAAAAGTTTTTATAATTAAATTTGTTATCATTATGATTGCAGATATATTCATCTTGAATGGTCATTTATTTCTTGACCAATGTTACTCTTTCAAATTATTTTATTAATGATTATTTGAATGATTATTAATGATTATTTATTAATGGTTTTATTGATTATTAATCATTATTTATTAATGATTATTTTTTTTTTGTTTCATATGATATTTTGTGTTTTTAAAAATGATCGAAATGAATGGCAAAAGTATTCCAAAAAAGGAAAGAAATTATAAACAAAATTTCTTCGAATTCAATTTGAGTAAAAGAAAATTCTTCCAATCGATCAATTTCAATGGAATTTATTTTTAAATGTAATTGAAAAAATTTGTTTAATAATTTTGCTTTCAATCTGTTAATCAAATAATAGCCGCCATTTATTTATAATTTAAAAAGTCATCCATTTCATTTCAATTTTTGAACACTTAAAATGTTAAATGAATAATACAATGGAAAAAAAAAATATTTTTTAATAGTTTTAATTTAATACTAATTAGTTATTTATTTTCATTAATTAATAACGATTATTATTATGATAATGATAATTGTTAAAACAATTGATTTGAATGATTCGATAATCATTATCATATAGCATTTTGTTTATGCAAATAATTGTTGAAAATAAAGTTAAATGTCATTTTGTTTATATAAAAAAATTGTTGAAAATAAAGTTAAATGTTCGAGACTAATTAAATATTTGCTTTTTCTTGAATAATTATAATGATAATGATAGTTGTTAAAATAATTGATTTGAATGATTAGCTAACAATTATCATATAGCATTTTTTTATCAGTACAAAAAAAGTTGTTGAAAATAAAGTTAAATGACATTTTGTTTATATAAAAAATTGTTGAAAATAAAGCTAAATGTGAAAATAAAGTTAAATGTTAGAGACTAATTAAATGTTTGCTTTTTCTTGAATAATTATAATGATAATGATAATTGTTAAAATAATTAATTTGAATGATTCGATAATCATTATTTTTATCAGTACAAAAACAAAGTTGTTGAAAATAAAGTTAAATGTTGTAGGAAAAGGATACATCAAAAAACTAACAGCATTTTATTCTTTTTTAAAAAAGCAAACTCATTGGGTTTGCACTCATTGCATGTTTGTTTGCACTGTTGAAATGATCGATAAGGAAAGAACGTTTTGTTGTTTTGGCCAAACGAATGAAATTGAAAATAAAATAAAAATTGAGGCACCCAACAAATCCATTTCCTTTAATACTGAAATTACATTTTCAGTAAACAAATTTTTTGCTTTCGCTAATTTTTAAATATTTTATAATTTAATAAATAATTTTAATTTTTAAAAAAATTAATTAATTAATTTAATTAATTAATTAATTTTTTTATTAAAAGAAACAAAAAATGCCAATATTTTATTGAAATTTTAATATAAAAAAAAGGAAATTTTAGTTTTTAAATAAATAATTTCTTTTTTTCTTTGTTTATTTTTTAAGTAACTTTTGAGTAAATAATTATTGGCTATTCTAATTTTACGTACGCTGCGTCATTTCCTATTCCCTTTGCGCTCGCTGCGTCATTTTCCATTCTTTTTGCGCTCATATGAAATTTACGTCATTCGAAGTGAATTTTTTGCTTTTGTCACAACTAATCGTTTAGAGCTATTTTCATCTTTACATAGAATTATTATTTAACCTTAAATATATATATTCAATTTCCCTCCTATTATATATTCAAATAATTAATTAATTAATTTGAATTGAATTAAGCTATTCAATTTTTCGTATATAGTAAAGATATTTTTATTTATGTGATGGTTTTAATTAAATATTTGTTGTGTGAATTGGTTTTGTTTTATCGATAAATAAGATTGAAATGAATAAAATCAAAATGAATTATATAAGAGCGGTAATTAATTAGTCGGCAACTGGTTGCTATGCTAAATATCCATATATATATATAGCAGAAGTTTAATGATTTAAATCTACATTAATTGAAGTCTATTTGTTGATCAAACATTTACTCAACCAAGAAAGTATTACATAATTTATAGTTTTATTTTAAACTTTACAAATAAAATTTGAAATAAAGCTCTAAATTATATAATACTAATTTTTCTTGAGTAAATATTTGATTGATAATATATTGATAATATATAATTTCAGTTAATATTGATAACATTATTTTATGATATGTTATCATTGATATATATGCAACAAAAAACTATCTTAATAGAAAATAAGAGATAATTATAAGAATTGAAAAAAGACGAAAAAAATTTTATTTTAACAGATTTTCATCTTCGCTCTCTCTCTCTCTCTCACTCCCTGTCCCTCTCCCTCTCCATCTTTAATATATTTCACTTTTTTTGTTGTCAGTGAAGACTATGAAAGAATTTGAAATTGATGTGGAATGAATATTATTAAAATTAAAGTTGCCTAATGGCTTCTCTTTTTTTCATCAATAATATTTTTTGTCTATTTCAAAAAGCTGTCAATAACATATTGAAAATAAATAAGTAAAAATTCTTCGAGAATTTATTAAAGAAAAAAAAACTATATAATAGTAGCAAATCAAAGAGCATTTTTACTTTTTTCCTAATTACTTGTGCACTTTTTGTTAATGATAACGAGGCTGTCACATTTTTCGAGTACGAAAACAATGATAGATTGATATCAATAAGGTCTGAAAGGTAAAATTCAAAGATGGTATGTGTTATTTTTGCATTACCGTATCTCTTTCTTTCCTTCGTCTTCTTCTTCCCCTGTTAAAATGCACTTATTGAAATTAAATTAGTTGGTTGAAATACTTTTGTTTTTTCTTTCTTTCAATAAAATTAGATGTATTATCGATCAAATTTAGACATTTGTGATCAAAAGACCCGAACATTTAAATGTTTCACTATCATCTAATCAATCGATAATGATAAATTAGGATATGACAATTCATTCTACTCATATCTCTCTCCCTCTCTCTCTCTCTCTCTCTCTCTCTCTACTTTATACAAATTTATCAATTATATAGAAAGTACCTCCGGTTAATTAATAATACATTTGTTGGATAATATAAATAATTATAATAGTATGATTAAGCTTATCATCTTATCTCAAATTCATTAATTCTCAATTTCATCTTTATCATAAAATATGTTCACATTATTGTTTAATCGTATCAATTGATGAAATTAATTGGGTAATTCAGCGATTATCAGCTATTTTCATCACATTATTGAGAATAACAAAAATTTCAAAATTTCATTAAATGTTTGTCAATTATGATTGATATCTTATCATTGATAATATTGATTTAAGGGAAGTAATTATTTTCTCTCAAATTTATAATTAACAATTAATATTTATCAAATCAAAATTGTATAAAAGGAATTGAAGGTTTGCATTCAATAACACTTAATGTTATTTTTCTTCGTAGTAAAATTTCTGATAAATAATAAAAGTATTATTTACCTTATTAGGTAAGTATTGAAAGTTTTTCCTTCCTTAGAATGAATGAATGAAAAGTTATGCTTTCATTTCATATTCCTTTTCCGTTTTTTCAAAACGGAAAGTGTAAAATAAGAAATCAACAAATCGGAAGATTTTCATTATTCAATGAAGAAAATATTGCGATAAAAAGAGAGAGAGAGAGAGAGAATTGATGAATAAATAAGACAAATTTCATAATGATGAAGAAAAAGAGTGAGAGACGATGAAGGAAGGAGAAATATTTTACTATCTATTGAATTGGTGAGTAAATCAAAATGAGGCATTTTGAAATTTATGTATTAATGG